TAAAAATCTCACGGAAATTTCTCATTGAAAAAAACTCTCAATGAAAATATAAAAGCTGAAAAAAATATACATATAAAAGCTGAACTAATTTACAAAAGTATTCAATTGGATTCACCATGGTTAAACTTGTCACCCACCTACACTTAGCGATAAGCCAAGCTCGAACTATGAAAAATAGAAAGTATAAAAACTGATGCAATGATTTGCTCATTGTTCATATACTCCCTGTATATCAATACAATATTTATAGTAGAAGCAATAAAAAAATTAGAACATAAAGTACATTTGCAATACTAAGGAAAATGTCAAGCATTGGCAGAAAGACGAGAGAAAACATGGCTTATGGTCATCACAGGACATCACTTGTCCATTCATTTAAAATCACACTTCATATCTGAGTTATATTTTTACTTGCACTGTAGTCTTTAATTCCACTTTTGTTTTGAGATGTTGTTGTTCTGAGATGTTGTTTTGAGATGCTAGATAGTGGACAGTGCAGATGTGTTTAAGTTGACAGAAATGAGACACAGCGGAGCATTCTACACTTCCATCTACATCTAGTAAACACCGTTCTATGATGACTTAACCCTCCCTGCCCTGAAATCAGCCAAACGGACTTTTTTTTTTTGGTCACACCATGAGGCTTGTGGGATCTTAGTTCCCTGACCAGAGATTGAATCTGGCTTTGTCAGGGAAAGTGCCCAAGTCCTAACGACTGGACCACGAGGGAATTCCCCAANTGTTGGACATAAATAAATTGCAGTAGAAGAGATGTAGGAGATTCAAAGATTAAAAAATCAAGAAGTCACAATCGCTGCCCTCAACTAAGTTTTTTAAAATGTATAGTGAGAAATAGGCAGGTACAGAAATAATCAAAGAGCAAGAACTGGCCATAAAAGGAATAAAAGGACTCAGCAGGAGCTGCTAAGCCAGGTAGAGCTACAACATCTGTGCCAGGTCCTCCCACAGCAGGGCCAAGAAAACGAAGTGGAAAGACGAGAAGTCAGAGCAGATACTGACCTCTGAGCACAGGTGCCTCTACCTTGATCTAAAACAAGATCCAAAGGCAAATCTGTCAAGCACCCTCCTAGGCTGTAATCATCAGATTTTTAAAGTTAACCCTTAAAAAGCTGTAACATAAGCTCATGATTGTCAGCTTTAAGTTTATATTCCTTCACTGTATATTACATATTAAAATATGTATACATTAGCTTCTAGCAATGGCACATTGAAAGAGATGAATAGAAACTTTCTTCTCAGTTCCTTGCTATCTATTTTATTCATTAAATGAAGGAGTTGAGGACTTTCCTGGTGGTACAGTGGTTAAAATTTCACACTTCCAATGCAGGGGGTGCAGGTTCAATCCCTGGTTAGGGAACTAAGACCCTACATGCCATGCAGCCAAAAAAAGAAAAAAAAAAAAAATGGAGTCACTTTCTTGTTCTATCTTTGCCAGTATGTGTGCTCACAAACACACATGTGTGTGAAGGACTGGTCAATTCTGAACTAGATAGAACAAAAGATCTTTCTTTATTTAAAAAGAGGTCCCTTGTCTTAGAACCAGAGCCAGGTTCACAGATTCTACTTTTTATATAAACTGTGTTCCATAAGAATGGGAAACCTTCTCTGACCCGAGACTAAGCTGGGTTGCTGGTCCATGATACTTCCTCTTTCCTGACACTCATTATTTTCTATTGTTACTTGTTTCATTGCTTATCTTCTTTGTTGGCCAATAAGCTCCACGGGGTCAAGGGCTGTACTTAACTGTGTTTGCCACGTGCCCTCGAGGGTCGAGCTCATAGCAGAACCTCAGTAAATATCTGTTGAATAACTATGCTTGCCAGACTGGTTATTTCTTTCAACCATTTCTGATGAAGCTAGGTCTCTTGTACACAAAGAGGAAGTGACACTCCTTATCTTCAAGATGAAGAAGACGAGAGACTTTCCTGGTAGTCCAGTGGTTATGACTCGACCCTTCCAATTCAGGGAAGTAGGTTCAATCCCTGGTGGGGGAACTAATATCCCACATGCTACGCTTCAAGTAGCAGCCAAAAAAAAAAAGAGGACATGCTTGTAGAAGGATAATAATAAAATGTAATAGGGGAATAGATGGGTGTACTTTCTGAACTCACTGGAAGATGGAGAACTCAACTGCAGCTGCTTGCTGCTAAGTCACTTCAGTCATGTCCGATTCTGTGCAACCCCAGAGACGGCAGCCCACCAGGCTCCCCCGTCCCTGGGATACTCCAGGCAAGAACACTGGAGTGGGTTGCCATTTCTTTCTCCAATGCATGAAAGTGAAAAGTGAAAGTGAAGTCGCTCAGTGGTGTCTGACTCTTAGCAACCCCATGGACTGCAGCCCACCAGGCTCCTCTGTCCATGGGATTTTCCAGGCAAGATTACTGGAGTGGGCTGCCAGTGCCTTCTCCAGAGAACTCAACTGGATGCTTCTAAATGGTTTATCAGGAGTTTGCTGAGCAAGGAAAAGGGGAAGGGACCAGGCAGAGACAACCCAGACCATTGAAGGTATAGGAACCAGAGCAATTCAGTGCTGCAAAGATGAACAAAACATATCAAAATTTGCTAAGAGTTTATCAGACTACTCTTTAGGTGACTCATTTTCCTGCAATGACCTGACTCAAAATCAATGCTTTTCCCTTTGAAGAAAAATGTGCTGTGCTGTGCTTAGTCGCTCAGTTGTGTCCCACTCCTTGTGACCTCATGAACTACAGCGTGACAGGCCACTCGGTCCATGGCGATTCTCCAGGCAAGAATACTGGAGTGGGTTGCCATTCCCCACTCCAGGGGATCTTCCCAACCCAGGGATCAAACCCAGGTCTCTCACATTGCAGGTGGATTCTTCACTGTCTGAGCCACCAGGGAAATAATTATTCCCTATTTCAATGAATCAGGTAATATATTTTCCTATCATAGTTATCTATCTCATTCTATTACATGGTCATTTAAAGCTTTAAGACAGCACCTCAAAGTTTCATTTGGCATCAGATTTTCTGGAACCTCCTTATTCTCCTAGAAATTACTGATTCCTATAAATTCACTGATTCTCTCCCCACCCCCAACCTGTAATTACTGATTCCTATAAATTCACTGATTCACTCTCCACCCCCAACCTTTTTATCTACAACTATTCCAGGAATTTGGCATCTCTCCCCCAGTTATCAAGATAGTAAAAGGCCAAGCTAGAAACTCCTCTCTCAAGCAACCCCAGCTGGAAGCCAGCCAGGGAATTTGCGCCAGGCTCTTTGGTGGACAAGCCAGGAATATGCTATAAAGGACAAAGAGCAAATATCACTAAATCCATCCTGCTGGGATTAAGGTTCAGGTGCTCCTCTGCTCCACAGTTCCTGTGACTTTTTGCTAATCTGAAAAACCCCAATAGGCTTGGTCACCATCAAGGGCATAAGAGTTCCAGGCAATGGTACTTGAACTATAGCACAGATCAAAATCATCTGTGGAAAATGGGTTGAAAATGTCAATTCATGGTTTCCACTATTAAAGATCCTACTCTAGTATATCTTGAATGTAAACCTGGACTTCCTTTTCTGTTTTCTTTTTGTTGCTTGTTTGTGGGGCATGTTTTAAAATATCCCAGGCAATTCTGATCTTATAATCTACAGGCTACACACTGAGGTTCACTGGACTGATTTGCGGCCTTTCAAAGGCTTTTTAAAAAGGGAGAGGAGAGGAGGGAGAGAAGGGAGAGAAAATGTAGCCTAATAAATGTATGTGTTAGTCACTCAGTCGCGTCCAACTCTTTGCGACCCCATGGACTGTAGCCCACCAGGCAGCCTAATAAACAGAGCCTAATAAAATTGTTTACCATTTAGCAATGGTAAAGCCTTGTTGCTGCCCTTGTTCAGTCGCTAACTGGTGTCTGACTCTTCGGGCTCTCACGGACTGCAGCACACCACTCCCTTGTCCTTCACCATCTCTGGAGTTTGCTCAAACTCATGTCCATTGAATCCGTGATGCCATCCAACCACCTCATCCTCTTCCGTCCCCTTCTCCTGCCTTCAATCTTTCCCACCTTCAGGGTCTTTTCCAGTGAGTCAACTCCTCACATCAGGTGGCCAATACTTGAATTAGTAAATGCTAATTTCAATACAGCAAAGTTTTGAATTACAGGAAAGACCAGCTCTTCTGTCCGTTGTTTGAACAGCCTGTCTGTTTGGTTAGCCTTCCCTGTGATGCACTCTTCTCTACTCATCCTGGCCAACCCTCACCTGGCTCTTCTGCTCATAATCTTCCCAGGATTAAGACTATTATCTTCTTGATCTCTGACCAGCTCTTCTATAGCCTCCAGGGTCTTGGACAAAACNATGCACTCTTCTCTACTCATCCTGGCCAACCCTCACCTGGCTCTTCTGCTCATAATCTTCCCAGGATTAAGACTATTATCTTCTTGATCTCTGACCAGCTCCTCTATAGCCTCCAGGGTCTTGGACAAAACCCCAGCTTTCTGGGCTCCACTTAGCAGGGCAAGTCTGGCTCAGAAGGACATGGCAAAGCCCTCATGGAGGAGAACGCTGCCTTCCGGAGAAATGCAGTGGTTGATGGGATACTCACATCCCCTTCAGGACCAAGGCCCTTGCTCCTCCGGCTGCCAGGAACGTTGACTGTAGAAGGGTCACAGCTCCAGGAACTGCCTTTGACTAAATAAAGGGAGTTGTTTGGCCCAAGATTACACACTTCTGCCTGGATACAGCCCACATCCAATGACAGGGATGCCAGGGATACAACGACCAGCCCCCAAGCTTCAAGATGGCATTACAATTCTGAAGGGCCATCCCACCTCCAAGGTTTCCCACTGTGAAGACCCCCCTTGTACCTGCACTGCAGTTCATTCTTCCATCTGCACACTCCTGCTCTCCTCTCCCCCTGCCAAGTCCTCTCAGAGTACCTCCCAATAAGTTTCTCATATGCAAATCTCAGAGTCTGTTCCCAGGAAGCTTGACCTAACATCAAAAGAGTAAACTCGCCTCTTTTAGTCGAGTAATGACATCACAGTGCACTGGGCCTCTGCACCTTACTTCTCAGGTAATGCTGGGTGGTCACTGAATCTCTCCCGTGGTCTCCTTCCTCATCTACACAATTAAAATACAGAAAACAATAATACGTGTTATATCTGTTTTGACAGAGTTTTATGAGAATTAAAAGAGAAAATATCTATGAGATTACTTTGTAAGTAATGAAGAACTGTATAATTCTGTCAACTGACATCATTGTATGTTGGTTTAGCCACGTAATAATCGGGTAAGAGGGGAAAAAGAAGGGGGATATCTACTAACATTATAGAATTCCACTTACACAATGTGCTTGACTTTATCTCAAATCAACAGATTTGTGTCACTAATCAGTACACCCAGGCACATAACAGAAATTAAAAGCAAAACCAGGAATGAGACATGCATTGATGCAACTCTGAAACAAAAGTGAGAACAATCCTTGTTCCCTCTTTTTCCATGTGAAGATAGCAATTGAGCCATTTCCACTACTGTAAAAAGTCAGAATTTACATTATTACCCAACAAGTTATGCAATGAGCATGAAATGTCCTTTATCTTTGAATAGAGAAATGAGTGAAACAATTGGGTATACAAAATGGGGAACACTTTACTAAGCAACTTGTACTTTCTAGATTACCTTGATATTGTATCCACTAGAAAGAAAAAAAGTATATAAACTAACTGAAAACATTCAATTAGCTCAAGAAAGATAAATGAAAATTACTAATCCTAAAACTTCTTCCTACTAAAAATAATCAAATTATTGAGTTTTACAAAGAACTTGAGTGAGATGCACAAATAGTGTCTGGTATCCAGAAACTCAGAAGGAGTGACCAGCAAACTTACTCTGACAGATGGTTTCATGATCAGCAAAAGTCACAGAATAGTTAGAACTCAGAGGAGCCTGAGACCTACAAGAGCCGTTAACTCTGGCAATTCTCTGCACTCAGGAAAACCACAGTGGAAATGAGAAGGCCAGACAAACCCACATGAAATATTAACCAAAACCCTTCCCTTTCTTATTCTCTGAACACTGAATGAGTAACAGGCAGGCATATAGGAATTTAGACCAAGGGGTAAACATGTGGACTGGATTATCTCAGAAGGCTTTATATCAGTTTCATATAATGTAAATCTATAAATATCGAGATTTCCTGGTAAATCTAAAGCAATGCTGAATGAAACGGTTTGTTCATGCATGGAGAAAACATTTCAAAGCTTCAAGTGTTAAGATATTTGAGCATCTTATAATTTCACACTTAAGTGAGTTTGCTGATTCATTTAAGTAAGTAAGTAAAGTCACTCAGTCATGTCCGACTCTGCGACCCCATGGACTGTAGCCTACCAGGCTCCTCAGTCCATGGGATTTTCCAGGCAAGGGTACTGGAGTGGGTTGCCATTCATTTAGGCACAACAATAATTCAATGTCTATAAACCTTACATCGTCCAAAGGAGAGGCTGTTGAGGAAAAAGGGAATTAGACCTTGCTTGCTGGGCAAAAATCAGAGAATTGTTCCAAGTCAAAAGAGAGTGAATCATGAGCCGATGAGAATAGTGAAGAGGTGGGGTCAGATTTTGGGGTTTGATAGTGAAAAATATATTTATCAGGACCAAATGAATGGACCTGTAAATAAAAATGACAGCCCAAACCCAGGAAACTTGAATTATTTTGCCTAGCTTAAATCAAGAAAACGGGAAATAGTGGCGCCAGCTTCAATTTACCAAGATTCAGAAAGTTAGAAGCAGGAGGGGCTGATAATTACCTGGTTTTGGGTAAAACCAAAGCAAAAGAGGCCTCAGAAAACAGATGATAAACCAAGACTGTAAGATCTGGAGCTGTTATGGACCTGCGTGCATCTGTTAGTAAATCTTCTACCATCAGACCCTGCTCAGTAGATGATGTATGTCCTCTGGCCAGCCTTTCTGCTTCCCATGGGAGGCATACTACAGATCTTAGCTACAAAACATGGAGCATCTAAGAAACACAGGAAGCTTCCCACGTGGCTCAGTGGTAAAGAATCCGTCTGCCAATACAGGAGCCATAGGAGATGCGAGTTTGATCCCTGGGTCAGGAAGATCCCCTGGAGGAGGAAATGGAAACCCCCTTCAGTATTGCCTGGAGAATTCTGTGGACAGAGGAGCCTGGTGGGCTACGGTCCCTGGGGCTGCAAAGAGTCGGACACGACCAAAGTGACTTAGCATGCACGAACAGGCAGGAAACATAGCATTGTACATCTAGGGCTTTGGGAAGGGCAGTAACTGAAGCGCCTCTGAGGACACAGCTGTGGAAGCTCTGGGAACCTTCAGACATGTTAAATCTCCATTAAAATATTTTAAATTCCCAGGAGAAATGCTCTGATTAAGCTAAGCTTATTCTTAGACCAACCAGGTACTTCTTGGGGTAACGGGAGGGTCAGAGGTGCCGCACCACAGTGGGACCCCTGGGAGCCATCTCATGTACTGGGCTATTCCTGGCTGCAAGAGGACTGTCAGAATCAGCAGAATGACTCCAATTTGAGTTTACCACAGTGTCTAAAACATCACTCATTCATTCATAAAGACAGCCTATCAGAGCAGAGTGGTAAGAACATAAGCAAGGAAAACAAAACAAAACCCAAACAAACAAAAAGGATACAAGCAAGCTCTGCGTTCTGATGTATAGCTTTCTAAACTGCTTCATAAATGTACATGTACATATGAACAATTTTTTAGAGCTAAGAGCATGCTATTCATACAGTTTATAACTCAGTAACAGACTGTTAATATTTAGTTATGTCAGTAAACATTCTAAACATAAAAAACGATAAAAGAATACAAGCAAGTTCTGGAGTCAGAGATGCTCAGGATCAATTCCTGGCTCTGACAATTACTAACACTGCACTTTCTGCACCAGTCAAACATAGTTAACAACAGTACCTGTCTCAGAGGATTGCAGTAAGGAGTGAAAGACTTGATTCACATAATGAGCCTAGAATAGTGCCTAGAACATAATATGCACTCAATAAATGTTAGCTGTTATTAGCATTCCTTCAAAAATGTTTTATGAGTACTGACTATATGCCAAACCCCTTATGAGGTCCTCATTATCCTTGAAACCAAGCCTGCTCTTCTGTTTATCTTCCTATCTTAGTCATTAACTAGAAATGTGAGAGTCATCCCAAACTCCTCCCTCTCTCTCACTGCCATTTCTGGGTTCTGGGCCAGATTCCACCTACTAAACACCTCTCAGCTCCTTCCCTCTTTTCCGTTCCTCACTGTCACTGCTTGACTCAAGGCTTCTTTAATTTCTCATCTTGAATATTACAACAATCTCCTCCATGTCACCCAAAGGCCAGGGCCACGCTCATCCAACCTATTCTCTATCTTGAGTCAAAGTTGGCTTTTCCAAACACAGATGAATCTGATAATATAATTCACACGATTAAAGTCCTGTATAGGATAAATTCAAAGCTCTTCCATGACATATGGACCTATGTGATCTGACCCAGTCTGTCTCTCGAGCCCTCTCCCCAGCCAGTGTCCACCTTGAACGGGTTGATCCTTCTGCTGGGTCATCTATTCCTCCATTGGAAGACAAATCCTCCTCTTACATTAAGGCTCCTTATTTAATCGATACCTACTCCCTAAAACTTATCATGACAGAAGCCTGTGCCAAATTCAAGGAGTACAGTGATGAAGATCACACTCCACATTTTCTCATAGAAAAAGTAATTTTGAGGCTCTTGAAAGAGAAATAAAGTGTGGAAATTACGAAAAATTTGTGTCAAGTTTAGCACTGTTTCCCTATGGTGGATATCTTATGGAATTGGAGAAACTGGATCTATTTTGGTATTAGGTTCAAAAAGCATCTCAGTTGATTTCAGTCCCAACAGTGGATTTACTCATGTTGAGTTACACAGCTATAATGTGTTAGAAAAGATTGGTCTGAACTGTAAAAACAATGATCAGAAAGTTGTTTCCCTATGGTGTTGTAAAGTTAGCCATTAATTAGTCACTTAAAAAAATATCTGTGGTTATCTAGGGGTAATAACAGACTGGACTTATTTTTACATGGTTACTAGATAATTTGAAATGTGGTTAATTAAAAAAAATCTCTAAAAAGCATGTCTTTCTAATGAACATATTTTTAAATCACTTATTGAATAAAACACTGACTGAATAAACTCAACAGGCTGCCTACAAAGACAAGTAGATGATTAAACTCAAACTCTCACCATTCTTCCAGCAATGATAATCCACTTCATTCAGAATCCCAGAGCTGCAGGAACTTCAGTCATATTGGGACAGAGGCTCAACTGTGGGCATAGATCTGTCATTGCACTCAACTCCTTCTACTGGATTTTCTAGTGGATTTGCCAGCCTTGTACACTGGTCTTTAGGGTCCTTGTCAGCAAGATCCTGTCTTATTCTCAATTGTATAACCAGAGCTCGATAAAGAGACTGGCACAGAGAAGGTGCCCAATAACTGTTTGCTGGGCTGAATTCAACTCAACTCCAACAGTGATGCTGTCCACATCTCCACTGTGTCTCTATCCAGCTGCAATAGGACTAATCAGCTTGAACATTTTAGTTTCTCAGCCCCAAGGGGTATCCACCATCTTCACAATTTTTACATGGCACTAATTTATAAAGACAAACTGTCTAAAAGATTTCTATTCAGCGTGACATACAATCACCATGTAACATGACATGTTTCCACCACATCATCCCAGCAAAAGCAATAACAAACCAGTTATTGAAGAACGAAATTAAATTTCTCTTGGGCCTCTGTGGCAAAGCACATGATTTTAATGGTTATCTTACATCAGCCTGGTAAGCCTAGCTGGTATGCTGTACCACCCAGCCACTCATGGAAACAAAACTTTCAACTATTACTTCCTATCCAACCAGTTCCAGTTTATCAGCGCCTGCATTTCACATCTTAGGCTTATTTTAAATACAGCCAGAGCAAACCTCACTTTTCAAAAGTTCATTAACAAAGTCTCACATGTAAGAGAGCAGCTCTGTGACTCATTTTTGGATACCCGAAATAACAACTCCTCCCTTTGCTGAGAAACGGCTTCGGCTTCAACAAGTGCGTGAGAACCACCGGAAGTAATAGAGACCGTGGGCACCGCGAGCCAAGCCTAGAATTCCCTCTCTGGCCGGTGTGGAGCACCTAGGCTCTGCATTCTACTGAAAACAAAAAAAGGAAAGAAAAAAAGTCTTCTGTGGGCTGGGAAGGAACGATTTCAAGGCGGTACGACTTCTCTGTATTCCTTGACTCCTGAGTCATACTGCCAAGCTGGTCAGAAAGTGCAACCTAATGGGGAGTGAAGAGGTGATCGAAGTCATGACCCCTTCTAATTCAAAAAACAAACACAATCCCCCCAAACTTCAGCCTTTCTACTGAAAAAACAAAAGCAGTCTTGGGTGGATACCGTATAAAGGAAGCCTACCAACAGATGTCCGTGAAATAATCTCTAAGAAGCCCTGAATGCGCAGACTTTGTCCATTAGGTGGAAAAAACAATCACTCCTCTCCGAGTTAGAGACCCAAAGGCCGCGTCCCCCGACGTGAACAGGCAGCGAGGGACTCGAGGTGCCCCCTCCCCGAAGGCATCCCTCGTGTCCCCGAGCGAGCGAGTACCCCTGCGGCCGCACGCCTACAGGGCTCAGCCTCTCCTGGAAGAGAGAAAAGCAGCCCCAAGGAGAGAAACACGAACCAGGAACGGGACCGCGCGGGCGACCCCAGGGGCCGTCTCCAGTGGGCGCGCGTCCCAGCGGGGATGGAAACCTGCGGCTGGACTCCCGGTCGATGGGCTCCCGGCGCCTTCCGCGGTTCCTCCCGGGCCGCCCGAGCTCCGCGCCGCCGCCGCCGCATCTGGAGCGTGCGCCCCGGATGTTCTGCGCGGGGGCGACGAGGACCAGCCGCGAAGCGTGCCGCCCGGCTCACTTCACCGCGTTCCCTAGCCTCCTCTTCCTTGGAGGCCCCCCTGGAAGCCGGGGGGCGGGGGTGGCCCAAAGGCTCTGGACTTTCCCCGGGGATCCCCCTGCGCTGGTGACGTTTGCGGGCCGTGCAGGTGTGTTTCCCGCGCCGTTCTCAGTGCGGGGGGCCTGTGGCGGCCCTGCACCTGTGCCTACCCCGTAGGCGGCCGGCAGGGAGGCTGCGAGTCACCCCGAGGCTGAGTATCTTCTTCCCAGAACCCACTCCAATTCACCCCTTTCCTGTGAGCTTTTAAACACCAGTCCGGTTCGTTCATTCATTCGTTCATTCATTTAGTACCAACCCAGCGTCCACACAGGCGATGAGGATGCTGTGTGTCAAGCACAGCCAAGACATTACCCGCAAAGACTTGGAATTCCAGTGAGGAAAGATGGACAGATAAAATGCTTGTTATGGGAGGTTAGTGGTATCTTGAATAAACCTGAGGCTTAAAAGTTAGAAAGTGCTCAAGAAGGGGGATGAAAATGATTTGCGTAGATGGGGAATGTCAAAGAAATGCAGGAGTCAACCGAAAGAGCTCCCACAGCCAGAGGAGGAGCAATTTGAACAACAAGATAAAGTAGTATTAGATTACAAACTATGCTGAAGCTGAAACTCCAATACTTTGGCCAACTGATGTGGAGAACTGACTCATTTGAAAAGACCCTGATGCTGGGAAAGATTGAAGGCAGAAGGAGAAGGGGATGACAGAGGATGAGATGGTTGGATGGCATTACCGATTGGATGGACATGAGTTGTGAGTAAGCTCTGGAAGTTGGTGATGGACAGGGAAGCCTGGCGTGCTGCAGTCCATGGGGTCACAAAGAGTCGGACACGACTGAGCGACTGAACTGAACTGCACTGAATATTTCTGAAAGATGTGAGTATCATAAAAAACAAAGTGTGAAAAACTGCTATAGCCTAGAGCATCCTAAGGAAAGCTGACAACTAAATGTATGTGGACAGGAAAAGGCTTTTCAGTAAAAACTAAGGAAATATGAATCAAGTATGGACTTCTGTTACAATATCAAGATTAGTACATGAGTTATGATGATGTACCATATTTAATTGTACAACGATAATAATAGGGAAAATAGAAATAAGATTTGTGGAAACTCTTATTATCTTTGTAATTTTTTTCTGTAAATCTAAAACCATTTGAAAAGAATTAAGATTAGGGACTTCCCTGGTGGTGCAGTGGTTAAGAATGTGCCTTCTACATGGAAGCAACCTAGATGTCCATCAGCAGACAAATGGATAAGAAAGTTGTGGCACATATACACAATGGAATACTACTCAGCTATTAAAAAGAACACATTTGAGTCAGTTCTAATGAGGTGGATGAAACTGGAGCCTATTATACAGAGTGAAGTAAGTCAGAAAGAAAAGCACCAATATACACATATGGAATTTAGGAAGATGGTAACAAGGATCCTATATGCAAGACAGCAAAAGAGACACAGATATAAAGAACAGACTTTTGGACTCTGTGGGAGAAGGTGAGGGTGGGATGATTTGAGAGAATAGCACTGAAACATGTATATTACCATATGTGAAATAGATGACCAGTCCAAGTTCGATGCATGAAACAGGGCACTCAAAAGCCGGTACAGCCTGGAGGGATGGGGTGGGGAGGGAGGAGACGGGGGGGTTCGGGACAGGGAGATACATCTACACCCATGGCTGATTCGTGATTAGACTGAGATGAGGAGACTGCCTGGGAAGCAACTTGTGGGGACTGAGGGAGGGGAGGGGAGGTTTGTGGGGACTAACAGCTCCATTTCGGACACTTGAAGTTTGGAGTGTTAAGTTGTCAAAAGTATCGGTTGGGTTGGTGAGTCTCGGATGTTGGTTTCAATCTGGAAGTCTTCAGCACACAGAATTTAGATGTCTGAAGTCTGAGTGATAGGGTACTCCAAAGTTTAGAGGTCAGGAAGATGAAGAACAAGAAAGGAGGATGAGAAGGCGTAATCAGTGGGAGAGGAGGTAAAGTGATGCAGAAAGTGCCAGAAGCCAAATGAAAAAAAATATTTCAAGAGTGGGTCAATTCTGTCAAATGCTGCTAAAGTGGATAAAATTAGGATTGAAAACTGAGCAATGGGTTTAGCCATATGGAGGTCGATGGTGAAATTGATAAGGGTTCGGTGGTATGTAATGACCAATGCTTCTGTGGAGCCCAGAGAGAATAACAAGAGATAAAATGGAGACAGAGAAATGGGGCAATAGCTGGAAGGAAATGTATGGTCAAGGGAGAATTTTTTTAAATTAGAAAATGTACATATTTGTATGCTCACAGGCATGAGCCAGAAGACAAGTAAAAGGTGACAAGACAGAAAAGGGATAATTGCCAAAACAGTGCTCTTGAGTAGATGAGCAGATATGGAATCCAGTGCACAGATGGAAAGCTGGGATTAAAAAGAGAAGATAGGTTTCTCCCCTCATGGCGGAGGGGGAGGCAGAATGTACAGGCACAGATGCTACTGAATGTGGAAATAGGAACAAGTATTACCAGTGAAGAAGGAAGGTCATCAGCTCAGAGTGAGGAGTAAGAGGAAGTTTGAGATAGAGGAGAAAGTAGGAAATAGCACCCTGGGACAGGGAGAGAGCTAATGTATTTTGAAAATCTAGTCGGATGGTTAGGTGGTACTAAGAATTCTAAATCGGGGATCATGAATGTAAAGGGAGACCAGTTGGTATAGTTGTGTTTTCACGAACCTCATGTGTCTACTTGGGCACCAATAAAATTAGGCAGAGGTCCAGAGATAATCAGAGTTTGGAGCTGCCAGATGAATGTGACAGAGGCCACAGGGACCAGAGTGTTGAGGGTCTATGCCAGGGAATAACCATAATTCAGGACCATGGCATCTAAACCGAGTAAGGAGAGAAGAGAGGACATGAATGATAGTGATGGGGCCATGTGAAAAGATATTAGGTCCATGGATCAGAAGATCCAGGGTATCAAGAAATTGCTGCAGTTGGGAGGGAGGTGGTTAGAGAGATTCAGTTGAAAAAAAAAAAAAGTTGGTTGTCAGAGAGCAGACTATGCAGAGATATTGATATTGATAATGGCAAGATCTAGACTGACCTGGTTCTCTGCACTTGGCCTGACCACCCTGGCTAGGCTCCCAGATAGGTCTTCTATATTTATAGACATTTTTCTGGAGATATTGGCTCTCACCTCCAGTCTGGATTTTTTTTTTTTAATTCTTCTTTATTTATCTTTTGGTTGTACTGCACCTCAAGTGGGTATCTTAATTCCCTGACCAAGGATCCCTGACCAGGGAACCCGAATCCCCTGCAATGACAGCATGGTGCCTTAACCACTGGATCACCAGGAAAGTCTCCCTCCAGTCTGGATTCTCTAAGCCATTAGTACTTTAGGGTAAAGCTCAGATAAAGCAAGGCGCGCACTTGAAGAGGGGCACATCTGCCACATAAAGGCTCACCCCCTGGATACTGCATACATCATCCTGTGTACCACGATCCCTCACTGGAAGGGCTCATAAACCCATTCAGTCTCAGTGTTAGAAGATCATCTATAAATAGTCATTTTATTTTACTTTTTAAAATTAAAGTGCAGTTGATTTATGACATTCTGCCAGTCTCTGCTATAGAGCAATCTCTCCTTTCATACAACATTTTCAATAGCCACTTTATATCCCTACACCATGTAACAATCACCAGTTCCCGTTTCTCTTTTCTATGCTAATTTTCAAATTATTGAGGACAGGTGTTTAACCTATCTTTTTAAAACTGCGATAAAATATATGTGACATAACATGTACCACGGTGGCCATTTAAAAAATAAGTTGGTTACATTAAGTACATTCACGTTGTTATGCAACCACCACCATCCATTTCCAGCACTTTTTCATTTTCCCTAACTGGCAACTCTGTAGCCAGTAAACACCAACTCCTCACTCCCCCTCTCCCTAGCTCCTGGCACCCACCACTTTACTTCCTGTCTCTGACTACTCTAGAGACTACAAATAAGTAAAACTGTGCAATATTTGTCTTTTTATAACTGGCTTATTTCAGTCTATTCAATGGCTTCAAGGTTTATACATGTTATAACATGTGTCAAAATCTTCCTTTTAAATATTGAATACTATTTTTTTTTTCAGTCTCTGCCTTCATTTTTCTGAGGTAGAGACCCAGAAGTGGAATTGCTGGATCATATGGTAATTCTCCCCTTCATGGATCACAGCCTTGTGGTGGCAAACGGGCTTGCATAGCTCAATGAAGCTATGAGTCATGCTGTGTTGGGCCACCCAGGATGGATGGGTCCTAGTGGAGTGTTCTGACAAAACGTGGTCCACTGGAGAAGGGAATGGCAAACCACCAGCATTCTTGCCCCGAGAACCCCATGAACAGCATGAAAAGGCAAAATGATATAATGTAGCAAGATGAGCCCCCAGGTCGGAAGCTGTCCAATATGCAAGCCGGGGAGAGTGAAGGGCAGTTACTTAGAGCTCCAGAAAGAATGAAGCTGTTGGACCAAAGCAGAAATGATGATGCTCAGTTGTGGACGTGTCAATGGACATGAATCTGAGCAAACTCTGGGAGATATTGAGGGACAGGGAAGCCTGGCATGCTGCAGTCCACAGGATCTCAAAGAGTTGGACACAACTTAGTGACTGAACAACAAAATGGTAATTCTATTTCTTCTGGGATCATTATACTGTTTTCCACAACAGCTGCACTACTTTACATTCACACAGCAGCGCATAAGTGTTCCAAATTTTCCACTTCTTTGTTATTTTCATATAACCTATGTTTAATTTCCTCTCTATTTGATATCCTGCTGGGCCCATGATGCT